TTCCTTAATTGAAGAAAATTATGTTAATTTAGGACCTATGTACTTAATTTCTGCCAAATTAGGTAATAAGCTTCTATATTTGTAATGTGTATAATACCTGGGTCATAATCATTCAAATCTGCTTGGATATTTCTTTGTTGCTTAAAACGTACATGTCATTAACTCGCAAATTGAAAGATAAATAACATAAAAATACTTCATACGCATTACTGTATAGTTTTTTATTATCAAGATATTAGATTTAATTCATTTATTAATCATGATTGTGTCTGATTACGGGATCATAAAAATAAAAAGCTATTAAGGATGTCCAAATCTTAAGTACTTAGCTTAGATGTAAATTTACTTTGAACTGCTATGTCACTTACTTGAAGTTCCGCTTGTTTTAAACTAATATGTCACATACGTATATCTCATTATAGTTAATCTAAATATATATAACTCATAGGTGACTGACGTAGTGATCTATCAACGCACAGCTCAAACCACTGCACGGATCAGACTGAAATTTGGCATGCAGGTAGATGTTATGACATAAGCATCCGCTAAGAAAAGATTTTGATGAATTCTACCCCCAAAGGGGTAAAATAGGGTATGAAAGTTTATATGAAACTTTGTCAATTTTAAACCGATCGGGCTGAGACTTTGCATGCGTAAAGCTACTATGACGTAGGCATCCCGTAAGAAAGGATTTCAAAATCCACCCCTAAGGGGATAAATTAACGCGAGCGAAGCCGCGGGCAAAAGCTAGTTAAATATATACCTGAAATATGTGGATGTATAGCTCCTCTACATTACTTAAATAACAAATCAATTTGCAGGTTAGTTTTTTATTATGTACCCAGACAAGACAAATAAAGTCCTAGCGTGCAGTGCTAATATGATTTTTGTTTATATTTTAAAACAGGTTACATGTAAAAGCATATAATTAATGTTAGTGTATAATTAAACATAGTGCGGACAGAAAGCCACAGTATATTTATTATTTAGAAAGCTGAAGAGACGACGAGAATGAATATATGTGTATGTTTATCCATAAATTTATGAATATTACAATGGCTATGTAAACTGTAATTAGGAAAAAGCAGTTCCTTTATTTCGGATGTCCTAAGTAATTAATTATTCTGTTTGTCTGTTTGTACTACTTTATTGTAAGATATAAAAAGTTAGGATAATAGGATACAGAGATCTTAAGAAATTAAGCAGTACAATGGCAGTCTCATCCCAAAAGAGGGATTTATTCCAGTCCAACCTTTGAATGACTGTGTAATACTATATATATATATACTTATTCTTGCATGTATTATATGAAAACTAAGTATTTATATGTATTAATATTCCGTAATATTTAAAAATATAGCAATTGAAACATTGCAAATATACATAGAAAAAGTTCCGATGAATATCGGTGTGGGTTACCATATTTTCTTGTCAGAGAAAAATATTCTGAAATATGTAAACATATTTTCGTCCCCGTATACCGGCAAAAGTGATCAACGTGATCGATTTACTATATAACCATGCGAATTTTAGATGTACTTCAGACTTATGAATTTATATTTTGAACATCAATACAGTATCACAAGGACTTATTATTCAAATTTGATAACTTCACACGAATCGTGGACGACTTTGTGTAAAGTGTGGTTACCCACTTTTCGCCTACTAGAAATAACATAAATATAGAAATAACATACATAATAGAGAAATAACCTGTAACAAGTAAGCTACTTGTTACAGGTTATTTCTCTTTTGATTTGTGCTCTTATCTATTCGGGTGTAAAATATATAGTAGAAATAATATATAAAAGTATTTAAACTTACAGTTATATGTACGTGGCTAAAAGTGGTTAACTCGTGAAAGTGTAATAAATTAATAAACAGTTATTTTGGCATTTATAACAATGTGTACAGATAAAATGAAACTAGTTAAGTCACTAGTGTTTGCAAATTAAGCTCAAGCTGCCATATTCAATTCAAACTTACTTGCAATTATGCACCAAGATACAAATTTATATTGTTTTAAGTACGTATTAGACATTCATTGAGAGAAGGTTTTTGAATAATCCCAACGAAACGGGAGATGGCTTTGAACGATATAATCCTAAAGTTTGTATTTATGTGAATCTGTCATAATAATGATTTTATACTGTCAATAGAGGCTTTAATGATTTCTTAATTATTCTGTTCAAATTATGTATTTTCATTAAAGTTTATATTTACAAATACACTCGTATTTATTTTTTTGTTCGGAAAGTACATTTTATAGTTTCGAAGTATAGAAGTATTCGCAGTATCACAGATAGATTCGCAGTATTTTTTGAGACTAGAAAGTAACGGCTTTAGTATGCTATTATTATCTTATACGTATTTGTTATTAAAAAACTAATAAACGTTAATTTTGGATTCAACTTGGAAATAACAAACACCTAAGTTTAAAATTTGTTGTGTTCGTTCATTTTATCATTTCAACATAACAAATAGTTAACATAAATACTATTTATATATAGGAATGATACAAATAACTCCATTAAATATTGAATAGTTTTTTTATGACGTATTCTGTGGTTAAAATGCTGTGGTGGTTAAAATAAATGATGAAAAACTTTTATTGTATCAATATTTTAGACTCTCTGGTATAATAAAAGTTCGAACCCTTATTTGTGTGAACAATATCAAGTTTAACAAAAAGTTGTAAAACAATATTGTTAAGTTTAATGATAGAAAGTTGAGCTCAAAGTAACTCTATACTTTAGAATTTTAAACTAGGGATTAATTGTTATTTACCCCTAAAATGGATTATAATTATATTCATAACTACCTCTAATTTGTTAATTGTTATAAAAATGCTTAAATATCGCTTAATAATTTAATACAGAATACTAAGAACAAATATTATCCTGGTAAATTGCCAGTTACAAATTGGCAATCTCAGAGGTAAACTGTAAAAAGTACGTCTGGTACCTCAGTCTCATTTTTTTAACCGCTAAGCAGCTTCCTATGTAGCCTGCGTTTCGATTGTTGGGTGATATTGGGTAGTTAAATTCCAGGAATTTAACTACCCAAGCTCTAGAATGGGAACGCATGAATTGTATGATGAGTTGACAGTAGTACTGTTCATGTATGTATATAGGCGACGGTTACCGCTTACCGTCTGGTGAGCCGTAAATTAGTTGCCATTCTAATGATATGAAACATAACTTTCTACCGGCGACTATCATAGACAATGATAAAAAGTAGTCTTTTTATAGTAGTGCTTCTTATTTCATCCCAAATGTAATAAATTTCATCACCATTAATTTAATTTGATTCTATGATATATTATTAAGCCATAAAAACGCAAAATAAATACTCTTTTATATTATTAGTTGTTAACGACGACTTCCTCTGCGTGGAATTAAACTTTTTATTAAAATAAAATAGATTGGCTGAAATAAAAGTAGCCTCTTATAACATTAGCTATCTGCGAGTGAAAGTCCCGTCAAAATCGGTCCAGCCGATTTAGTGATTAGCAAGAATAAACAGACAGACTGACAATTTTTTTTTTAAATAAGAACCGATTTATTTTTATATACATTTAGTGAAACCCTGTTAATTTGAAATTACAAACAGACACTTCAATTTTATTTTATTTTTTTGGTAACATAACGCTAGTTCAAATTAATAAATAAATTATATAATACACATTTTATTAAATACATATAGGATAGTAAATCTGTAATCTCAATTATAGGGCGACGGTTACTTCTTTCCATTTGGTGGGCCGTCAGCTCGTTTGTCATTCCAGTCAGATAGAAAAAAATCCTAAACCTTCCTTAATATGTTAGTACAAGTTGTTTTGCTTATTAGTAAGGTGTTCGATTTGTTAGAACTTTTATGGCTGTTTTCGTATGTACTTTATACCTGATGAATTGTCCCGTATTAAGAATACGGAAGCTTTTCGGGCCTCACAAAGGTGTACGCGAAATCATATATTTACGCGAAATTATACCGCCTTATTGTAACGATACATGTGTCTTTTGTTATATTGTTTGTGCTTCTTCTTTACTGTACGTTGCAAATAAAGTATATTCTATCTATCTATCTATCTATTATTAATATATTAACAATTCAAATTTCAGATATTTGTTGCATTGTTTCAAAATCTAAATTAAAACCCCTATGTCACCCAATATGTATATCAACAAGTATATCACCCATATCCTTGTAACTAAAATTTTAAAATCTTATTGTTACATGAAGATGACCGCGAGATTTCTGTTTGAAAAATTATACCACAATTGTTTTTGGGATTATATAAAACAAAAGACTGTCTTAACAAAAACATATTTATAAATATTATTTAAAAAAATATATAATAGTATGATTTTTCATAAATGATATTTTAATTTAGGTAAATATTTCTTTTTTAAATAATATTTTAGATCTTCTTAACATGACACAGGATATTACAATTATGTGATTATAAATTTTTTTCAAACTTTCTTGTGCGAAATGATACTTTCTGCACCAAGATAGAATTTTTGTAATTTTTAATGTCATTTCATACCTAATTGTAGAATATTTTATTACGAGTACTTTATCTGCAATGTACAGTTACCCATAGATATATATGAAAAATGTAGATGAAATATGAGCAAAGTTTAATAGAATTTATGCGGTTTCGTACCTACGAAAGTTTGATTTCTTAAAATATACTTTTTCGTGGAGTGAGTGGAAAATATATAAATAATATCAGCCATTACTGTAGATTATATATTTCTTATTACATCATTCATAATATATCTATCTAATAATAAATATTTTTTTTTCGAAAATAAATTTTACTACTTGTATGTAAAATTTTTGTAATTTCATCTACTAAAAAAGTATAAAATAGTTAAAATTAACTAACGATTTTTTTGTTTATTTGTCCCCTCAATTGTGTGAAATGTGATGACTATTAGATAATTGAGGAACAAAACGTTTTATGCGAATAACAAAACTTTTATCTAACTTACCTGACAAGCGGGCGCGGTGCGAATGCGTCACTAGTGAATGCCTCTCGTGTCACTTGACCGATATGATCTCTTTCAATAACAAAGTTTCAGGCATGCAAAAGCTTATATAGGAGACCGCTCCGCCCACCGCCTCCGGGGCGGGACGCGGGCCGCGCTACAACCTCCGCGTAACTTGACACAACTTTACAAAAAACTTCAAATTTTTTTCAGTACCAACTTTAGACTTTAGAAAGTTTACGTACACACTCTTATTGAACATTTTTAAGGACTCATGTGGTATCCAATCGAGCTGTATGCGTCGAAATTATCTACCTTTCATAAATTACAATATATATTTTATTTATAACTTCTTCTCGACTACTAAGAAATAGTTAGGCATTTCTGTATATCTTAGGATTATACAACTATATTGGAGTGGCTCATAAGCTGATGCTGTACGTAATGGAAGGTGCTGATCACCTCCTGTAGACATGAGCGACATTGTTTTTACTTATTTGACGACCTCGGTGGTCTAGCGGTTCACATCCCATGGTTGCAAGTTCGACTCCTCAAATGATGCATACAATTGTATTCATGTGTATGAATATTTGTAGCGTTCTGGGTGTTTCCAGGCATTGTATTTATATAAAAATGTGTATTAATAATTATATCAGTTGACTAGTACTCATAACACAATCTCTGCATAACTTGGGACTAAATGACGCTCTGTGAATTTTAGCGTTATTATTATTAAATGATATGTTATGAGAATAAAAGTGTTATTGTTATCAATAGTTTCACTGCCGTGCCTCACTGCCCTTAAAAGCTAAAATGGATAAATCAGATGTACCTATCCATTCCTGCAGGCAACGTCGTACAATGCCGCCCTTTGATAGGCAATAATAACAATTCAAAATAACAAAGATAAAATTAATATCGAGAATTCAATATTTAACATAACAAAAAAATTGTCTCACAGAACTCATCTTATTATTTTTTTACAAAGCAAATAAAATAATAAGCATTTCATACCAATAAAGGGAAGAAATATGGAATGGAATTTCTTTTCAATAAAAACATTAATTCCCAATGGAGGTTTCGCTTTACCTATTGTAATTGTAGTGTAATATCTACCGCTTTGACAAAAATATCATTTCCAAACCCAGCATGTGTTATACTTGCGTATATAGGAAATTCATTTCATTTTTATGATTTACTTAGTAATATAATATAATGGACAACAGATATAGAATATGTAACAATAATATAAAGTTAAAAAAATTGTGAACATAACATTTATCTATACCATCAATTTATCATGAGTAAAGAATCGTTGTGTTATTTCATCATAAATATGAAACCGATCTTCTATTAAACAGGGCAAAAAAACTAGCTCTCCCTAGAGAAAAAATAGAACTAATATTGAAGTTATGAAATTATATTATACTAAAACTAAATATTATTCTATTTTTAGAATCAAGAATAACTTTATCCAATTTGTACATTGCTTTAGCCAATAATCGAACCATTTGGAAATTAAAAAATAATAATGTCAAGTAAAATGTTAAATACTTTTGGAATTGTATATAACATGTCATATTCTAATATATTAACTTTTTTTCATGCCCAGGATTTCAGACATAGTGACTAGGAGAAAAAAAAATCCGTAAATAATTAAGACAATGAGAAGGTTAATCGGTATATGTTTTGTACAAAGTTATGAGCGTGCGTACATACTATAATACTACTACTAAATGCTGCCACGCAACTTGCTTTGTAAAGTGTGTTCCTGTTCAAGTATAAATATGGCATGAAATTAAAGGGTACGGAGGGATGATATCTTAGACCTTTAGAATGGCAACGCATGACGTTACCATGGGCATTACATGATTAACTTAAGTCCATGATGTTGTTAAGATCAAGTCGGTATCTACTTTGGCATTCCTAACTGAAAATATATAAAACAATAAGAACTCATTTTTAACACTCGCAGTCCCCGTGGTAAAAATAAACTGAGTCTCCTTTTATGAGCGGTGATTGAAGCCCACTATTGGGACGTTTACATGTTGTAGTAATATTACAAATCAATACTTATAATAGAGAGGGGAAGGGAGTGGTTCAAAATTGGGTCACCTATTACTAACAATGTACCATATCAGATTGACTTCCACGCGATTTTCCCTGGAAACCATCGTGATACGTAACTAGTAAATTTGTGACTATGAACTAACTGACCTGACCCCATGGTCATGTTATCACCCTCCAGGCGGGTACACCATGAATAAATAGTAATAATAGAAAGGCAAAAGTATTTATCCGATTACCTATTTTTTCATAATGAAACGGCTGAGCGGATGTTAATTAAATTTGACGTAGATTATTATATTATAAACAAAAAAAAGCCGTGGGTTACAGCTAGTAATGTTGTATTTTTAAATTTAACGGTAGCTGTTAATTTCTACGCAAAACGATGTCGTACGTACACACTTCATCGAACCCTAATCAATCACTCGTAAAAGAGCTTGAACAATCGCGCAAATATTTATATAAAATGTAATTAAAATTCAATTTATGTGGGCAAGAGTCTGTACTCGGATATCACAGCTGTTTACTGCGATGAAAAAAATATTTGCATCTGTTTACCTTGTGTTAAGTTTAAATTGACATCTTAATTTACTTTCATCTATTTTTATTACTCCGCTTGATAATAGTATGTAGGTAATATTGTATTATCTATGGTAATAGCTAGATCCTGCCTAGGTTCTCACAAGTTTAAATGGTATTATGAGTAAGTAGTAAGTACAAAATATTTATAGCCATTATCAAAAACTAAAAATATAAACCACGGAAATAAGTTATAAAAAAAATAAAATAGTTTATACTTTTTTCTTTTTTTTTCTCAATATTTGTGTCATTATTTTATAAAGTATTGTGTTAAGCTATTTCAATGGATATACGCTTTGAAATTACGCCGGATATGAAAACAAAGGTATCTTCGATTATTATAAGTAGTTGGGTGGATGTATACTGCAATTGTAATTCATTCTCGTCATTTTCGTACGGTACTACTTACCAGCTAATATAATACGGTTATATAACCTCGAAAGGATATTGAAATCTTTCAATATCTTTTAAACAACAATTGATAAAATTAGAATGTCGAACGTTTTATAGATAATGTACCTATACTTCCTTTTAAGCGAATATTGAAAGCGATTCTGCAATGTTCTTAAAAGTAATCTATTTTCAGTCTCCCAACATTGTAATAAGGCGGGTATTTGCATGAAGAATTCACACGTTTCCTTATTTTATCTTTCTTAACAGATCATTGAATTCCACTCATGCAATTGAAAAATAATATAGCAGGTACATCTCATCAGAACTTCTTTAAACTTTTCTTGTAGGTACTCAATGAAAGTATTTAGTATGCAAATGTAGAATATTTCTTTATATTACAATTTAAAGTATTTTGAATGAAATATGTAAATTGCAACAAAACAGGGCATTTAAGAAATTGCTATTGCAGAGGAAAAATTTAATGGCAAGACAAGAAGAAAAGAGTTTGTTATATTACAATTTATTTACACAATTTAATCTTCTTGAATGAAATATTATTTTTAGTCTTATATGAAAATAATTGTTTGTTCCCATTTTTTATGTACCACTACATAAATTAGTTTATATTATATTTCTTTATTACATGGTTTGTACATGGCTTCTATTCCTAATTGTATGCCATAAAGACCTCTCTTTTGGCTCTCTACATAATGGTTCCCTATGGTGAATTTAGACTAAAGTAGGTAAATATCATGAACTTTGACTGCTTTATTGATCTAGCTGATTTGTACACCGCCTTAGTTCATATGGTCGTGATCGTGGTCGTGGTAGCTTACTTGCACAACACAAAAAAATGTGTTCGTGACTATGATTGTTTGTATTAATCTGGGTGTTTCCTATATACTTAAATTGTGTATGTTTTAACAAAAAAATAAAAAAGATTTAGGTTTTTATATAAATTGTCTAGTACCCACAACTGAAATCCTGCTTTAAAGTTCTACCTAAGTATTATTATTTGACCACTAAAAATGCGACACCTGTCGACTTAATATAATTTATTTAATAATAACCATCCGCGAGAAAGTCTACAGAACCAAAACTAAATTGGAATAATAATCTCAGGATAATTCACACAGCGCCATCTAGACCTAAGTTAAGCTAGCTAAAGCTTGCTATGCGAGGAATGGAACCCGCGATCATCGGACGTAAAACGGTGTGCTAAACTGCTAGACCACCGAGGTCGTCATTCTAGGATGTAATAATAGGTATTAGATCATAGAAGTTTACGAACTAAATCATAAATAAAAAATAATAGTATACAAAATAAGTCTTGTAATTAATTATAGCATTTGAAGTAACTACTTTTAGCACATTTATTCCAAAAAAATTTATTCACACAATATTAACTCACCTTTCTACTACTGTCATCTCATCTCATCTTCTCAACTCCTCAAAAAAATCATTAAAAACTTTCAGATTCCCTCGTACTTTAGTAAGACGTTCAAAGACTGACTTAACGATGTCAACGAAATATTTAAAAGCTCTTTGCTTCTCTGATTTTATTTAATATAATAACTTAGTGTAAACGTCAATTTAATGAATTTATACGCTTTTTAATGAATTATTGTGTTCAAAGTATTATGAGAACCGGAAATTACAAATGAAACTCAACATATAATATATATCTTATAAATAGATTTTAATGGATGATAATGAATCTACAGTTGCGTCACATATCAGATCATAAAATCTATTCAACCCTTTGCAACCTAAATAATATTTGCTAATATTATACCTAATGCCTCATATCAATTCCATTACTCTTTTAGTACTTCTAAAAAGTAATATAAAAGTAATAACCAGTCGATGTTATGGAAAATCTTTCTTCTCTCGCATTTCCGAAGACATGGGAGGTAAGTTAGATTTATTCCGACTTTTGGAAATATATCATTACGTTATAAATGTCCCATAAACATCGCGGCATGGTAGCCTAAAATCTTAATGTAATGCTCTAACCTAATATATCAAGAACA